CTTAGGGGGGCCCCCGAAAGCCCTACTAAGCAGGCATATGCAAAAGTATGAAGGCTATTGCTTAACACATTGTAAGCCTCCCTGAGTCTCCGGAGAAGGGCAGCATATAAATCGAACTAATAAATAAATAAATAAATCCTGCAGTTGAAGCTCCACTTGGTTTTTTATGTTTTATGTACGGTATATAAAAAAACAGAGCTTTTGCCACACCATCCCATCCACCATCATGACTCTCCATACCCTGTGGAAACCCTGAAATTGAGAATGCAGATCACTGTCCCAGGCTAATGTCTTTTTTTGCCTCAGGCTGAAAAGATGGTTCCTTGGATTGGTAAGGCTTTTTATATATATCTTAAATTGGTCTTGATTCCTGGTAATTGCCCGGACAAGCTCCTGCAGTTTTCTTGGCACCATTTTCAGAAGTGGTTTGCCATTGTCACCTCCACCCTAGGGCGGAAAGCAAGTTGACTGGGTGCCTAAGATGGAACTAGAACTCACAGTCACCCAGTTTCTAAACCCTGTGCTTTTAACCACTACGTCAAACTGATTTTTCTGCCAGTAGCTTATTCTGCTTCTTTTCTGCCCTTCTGGGAACAGTTGGGCCCTCCAGATGGGCTAGGTCCGGGGTGTCAAACTGGATTTCTTCGAGGGATGGATCAGCATTGTAGTTCTCCTTTGTAGGCCAGCCGGGAGAGGGTGGTCACGGAATGGACACCTCCTGCAGCACCCTGCCGGCCAAAATGGGGCACAGGAGGGCCTCACACAGTCCCCCCACGCCCCGTTTTCAGGGTGGATGCCTCCTGCAGCATCCTGCTGGCCAAAATGGGGTGGGTGGGGGTTATATACCCCCCTATTATCCCGTTTTGGCCGGCAGGCGACCGCCCAGGCCAAAAACGGGGCCACGCGCTGCCCCCCTGTGCCCCGTTTTGCCTGCCAGAGGCACCGCGGGCTGGTGCTTTGCGATTTCTAGATCGGCCCCGCAGGCCAGATTTAAGCCACCCTGCGGGCTGAATCCGGCCTGCGGGCCTTGAGTTTGACACCCCTGAGCTAGGTGTTTCTAATAAAAAGATGTTAATTCCCTGTAGACAGAGGAATGTGTGAATGTATAACAGTGATGGAGGGCTAACACAGTATTTATACGGTCATCTCTTTATGCTTTTGCCAGCTTCTAGGGGGAGGAGGGGAGAAATCTTCAGCCATGCTCAAAGCCTGGCATCTAAATCTCTTTTTTGGGGGGGGGGGGGGGGGTATGATTGTGTTTAAGTGCCCTTCCTTGACTTCCCTTTTCTCCCTCTCGGAGCTTTTTCGGGGTGCCTGGAGAGAGAGAGAGGATCGTCTCCCAACTGAAATGCTAAAGAGAGATTTCAGAACATGAGGCATATTGGAGAATGCAATTTGGAACAGCTGAAACCACTGGAAAATTGCCAGCTCCCATTGCCGTAAATGAGAGGCCATTGTGTTGAAAGCTCATCAGCATTTAATTCTTCGCAGTGATTCAGCCAATTCTTTGCAGTGACAGATTTAGGTGTCGCTCAGATCCCCAGTCGCAGCTAAATCTGTCTCTGTAAAGAATTAGCCTAACATATTACACCCTCGGTAAATGAGCGCGAGTCCAAATCGGAGATGCGTAGTGTGATCTTCCTCCCCAGGGACTGCAATGGCTGGGGATGATGGGAGTTGTAAGACCATAGGAAGTCCTCGACTTATGACCACGTGACAGTTGCTGAGCAATGCGGTCATTAAGTGAGTTGTGCCCAATGTTACGCCTCTTTTGCTGCAGTCGTTAAGCAAATCACCCCGGTCGTTAAGCAAATCATTTGATTTGGATGCTTGGCAACCGGCATATATTTATTTATTTAATTTTATTTTTCATATTTTTAAACTGCCCATCTCCCTCATGCAGGGGCTCTGGGCGGTACAACAGTCCTCAACGTATGACCACAGTTGAGCCCAAAATTTATGTTGCTAAGTGAGAAATTTGTTAAGTGAATTTTGCCCCATTTTACAATTTTTCTTGCCGCATATGTTAAGTGAATCACTCTAGTTGTTAAATTAGTAGTACGGTTGTTAAGTGAATCTGGTTTCTCCGTTGGCTTTGCTTGTCAGAAGGTTGAAAAAGGGGGATCACATGCAACCCCACGACACTGCAAACGTCATAAATACGAGCCAGTTGCCAAACGTCTGAATTTTGATCATGTGACCACAGGGATGCTGTAACGGTCATAAGTGTGAAAAATGGTCCTACGTCATTTTTTTCAGTGCCATTGTAACTTTGAACGGCTGTTAGCTGAATTGTTGTAAATCAAGGACTACCTGTATATAATAAAATATTCAAATATAAAAACAGTATATTAAAGTGAAAAATGTAAAAGAGGCAAGGATGATTTCACACTGTTAAAATTAATTGAAAGTAGGAAGGAAGGCTTTTAGGGCATCAATGATGGCAAACGTATGGCACACGTGCCAGAGGTGGCACACAGACCCCTACCTGTGGGCACGCGTGCCATCGCCAGCTGCTCTTCTGGTTTCCGGCACGGATGTGTGAGCCGGCCAGCTGGTCTTCACGGGCGCCAGAGCACCGGAAAATGGCCTGAAAACAGGCCCAAAAAAGGCCAAAAACAGGCCGTTTTTCAGGTTGTTTTTCAGGCTGTTTCGGGCCCGAAAAACAGCCAAAAAACAGGCATGTGTGTGCCAGCCAGCTACTCTTCAGATTTCCGGTGGTTCAACGTGCACACATGCACGCACGTTCCGGTTTGGGCACTCAGTGCTGAAAAGATTCGCCATCATTGCTCTAGGGCTAGGCTCTCCACAAGGGGCCATGTAGCCATGAGGTTTTCTTTGCCATTAGTAACTTTTATTGGTTTATCAAAATATAAACTACAAAGAGAAATTCAGGAAGAGTGGGTGGGTGGGGGGAAATATATGGTGATAAGAGGGAAAGAGAAAGACACATAGCCATGTTTTGACTCCTTTTTGGAAGGCCAGGAATGGGGGGGGGGCGCCTCATTGTGGGGGGTGGAGATTATTCCACAGGGTGAGGGCAATGGCAGAGAAGACTGTCATTTATAGTGGTTGCAGCATCTTGGGAACAAGGGATCTCCATTTGTGACCATCCCAGCTGGCTTTCGACGATCAAAGTGAATGAACGAAGCTGCGTTCGTCTTAACAACTGTGGCAAAAATCGGCCACGGTCACATGATGTCTCAATTAACAACTGCATCGCTTAGTGGCAGAAATTCAAGTCCCAATTGTGATTGTAAGTCAAGAATTACCCCTCTCACAACAGTGACTCTGGGCAGCATGCAAAGTTGAAAACCAGCAATTACAAAACAGAATGCAGTCTGTCCTGGCAGAATTGTTCGTGCATAGTTTCATCATCACAACAATTTCTTAGTACATTCAGTGGGATTTTTTTTTAAAGCAAAGAAAATGATTCAGAACTGATTTATAAACACTCTCTTACTCTTATTTATTGATATACACAATTACAAAATGTCTCTGCGTGTCACACATGCAGATCAAAAATGTGCCCTTGCATTATTCCATGGATGGACTGGTCTGTGTAGATTTTTGTAATAATTGCTCCCTTGGATTTAATTATACTTGATCGTGTGTGGGAGAGTGAGGAGAAGAAAGTAAGAGTGTATGTGCCTCTTGAGGCAATTCACACAGTTGGGAGACCATTTTAAGCATGCCTTAGAAACCCATTGTGTTTAGAGGAGTAGAAACGGCATTGCACCAGTGGTGAAATCTAAAAATTTTCGCCACCGGTTCTGTGGGCGTGGCTTGTTGGGAGGTCATGTGACTGGGTGGGCGTGGCCAACTCGACATCACTCACATCAAGGGGCTCCTCACCGGCCCCTCCCCTCCCAGCCACTTCTTGTCATGAATGGCAGGAAAATGGGGAGGGGTCTGTCTCAAGTCTGTGCTCAGTCTGTGCTGAGATTGAGGAATGGACGACAGGCAAGAAAATCCCCTTTTTCCTGCCTTTCACGAAAACAGCTCCATTCCAGCTGCTTCCCCCGTCCCTCTCCCTCCTGGTGACTAAAGGGACAGGCTGCAGCAGCTCCTTTGTGAATGGAGGGAGAAAAGTTAGCATTCTCTCTGCTGTATTTAATGTTGAATTCTGTGGCAGAGGGAATGCTAACTTTTCTCCCTCCATTCAAAATGGAGCTGCTGCTCCCTTTATGGTCCCCCCCGGCCCCCTCCCTCCTGGGGACTACTTAAAGGGACAGGCTGCAGTAGCTCCGTTCTGAATGGAGGGAGAAAAGTCAGCATTCTCTCTGCTGCATTTAACGTTGAATTCTGCGGAATATCAAGCGGCTGGAAGAGGTGAGCGGCGACTGGCCGGAAGTGGGTGGGGCCAACGCGGGGTGATTACTACCGGTTCGGCGAACCAATGCCAATAATCCCTAGCGATTCACCTGGACCAGTCCGAACCGGTCGGATTTCACCCCTGCATTGCACCCACTACCATTTATTTGTAACCTGCCTTTGTTATTTTTACAAATAGAATAGAATAGAATAACAGAGTTGGAAGGGACCTTGGAGGTCTTCATAGTCCAACCCCCTGCTTGCTTAGGCAGGAAATCCTACACCATTTCAGATAAATGGTTCTCCAACATCTTCTTAAAAATTTCCAGTGTTGGAGCACTCACAACTTCTGGAGGCAAGTTGTTCCACTGATTAATTAATAACTCAAGGTGGCAAACACAGCCAACACACCTTCCTCCTCCAATACACATTTCCCCCAGAAAAGCAACCCTGTGAGGTGAATTGAGCTGAGAGTGACTGGCCCAAGGTAACTGGCCTAAGGTCAGTTTCATGCCTTAGGCAGGACTAGAACTCACCATCTCCTGGTTATTGGCCCAAAGTCACCCCAGCCAGCTTTCATGGATAGAATTCACGTCTCCCGCTTTCTAGTCTTGACCACTAGACCAAAGTGGCTCTTACTTTAACTAAGCAAGTAGATATTAACTCTCTCTCCTTTGTGCTTTCAGAATGGGGGGAATTCCAGCAGTGAATGGCAAAGGAGAGCGTCTGCTACTGCATGTTGGGATCATCGATATCCTCCAGTCCTACAGGTTGGCGCTATCCCTGTTCCACTTTGAGAGCTCAGGACATTTTCTTTCTTTCTTTCTTTCTTTCTTTCTTTCTTTCTTTCTTTCTTTCTTTCTTTCTTTCCTTCCTTCCTTCCTTCCTTCCTTCCTTCCTTCCTTCCTTCCTTCTCTTTCCTCCCTCCCTCCTTCCTTCTCTTTCTTCCTTCCTTCCCTTTCTTTCTTTCTTTCTTTCTTTCTTCCCTCCCTCCCTCCCTCCTCTTTCCTTCCTTCCTTCCTTCCTTCCTTCCTTTTTATATGCCGTCCATCTTGCTGACCTTAGTAAGTCTCATGAGATGTGTAACTTTCTGAGTTTCTGACTATTTATTTTATAAACAGTTGAAATATCAATTTGAACAAGAACATTTATTTATTTATTTATTTATTTATTTATTTATTTATTTATTTATTTATTTATTTATTTATTTATTTATTTATTTATTTATTTATTTATTGTTTCGATTTATATGGCGCCCTTTCTCCGGAGACTCAGGGCGGCTTACAATGTGTTAAGCAACAGCCTTCATACTTTTGTATATACCTGTATATAGTAGGGCATTTTGCCCGCCCCCCCCCCCCCCCCCCCCGCGTTCTTTTTTTATACAAAGTCAGTTTATTGCCCCCACAATCCGGGTCCTCATTTTACCTACCTCGAAAGGATGGAAGGCTGAGTCAACCTTGATTAGAGGTGGTCCTTGACTAATAATGGTTCGTTTAGTGGTTGTTTAAAGTTTCAGTGGCTCTGGAAAAAAATGACATCCCGTCCTCACCCTTACAAGCGTTGCAGCATCCCCATGGTCACATGATCAAAATTCAGGCCCTCTAACTGGCATGTCTTTATGATGGCGGCAGGGTCCTAGGGTCATGTGGTCACCTTTGGCGGCTTTCCTAGCTGACATACGATTCACACAGGCTTTCTTTCTGCAATGAGTTTTAATGCCAAAAAATAGATGTTAAAATACAGAATCCGAAGAAGAGAGAATTTGAAAAATCAAGGTAGAAACTCTTTAGCTTTTGTTTATCACAGGTAGTCCTTGACTTGCAAACATTCATTTACTGCCCATTCAAAGTTACAGCGATACTAAAAAAGTGTCTTATGACCGTTTTTCATTCTTAAAACCATTGCAGCATCCATCCCATGGCCGGCCCTGGGATCAGAATTTGGCAGTTGGCATGTATTTATGACAGTTACAATATCCCGGGATCATGTGATCACCTTCTGTGATGGGGAAGTCAGATTCACTTTACAACCGTGTTACTAACTTCACAACTGCAGCGATTCAGTTAATCTGTGGCAAGAAAGGTTGTAAAATGGGGCAAGGCTCACTTAACAACTGCCTCGCTTAGCAACAGGAATGTTGAGCTCAACTGTGGTTGTCAGTCAAGGACCATCTGTACTAAGTGAAAAAAAATTAGAGTCTTTTTGAATCTTTTGAGTCTCTTTATTCTTTTCTATCAGGCACATTGTAAGAGACCCTGTTGAGTGAACTAGCTCTTTTTCTTTCCTTTTACACAATAGAATAACGTATTGCATTCCATCAAGCAATTTCCAATTTATCCAAATCCAGACATTATTACAGTTTTGTTCCCTGTTTGGAAGAGAGGCTTGAGGGACAAATTGTTTTCTTCTGATGTTTGGAACGTTGCATCGTTTTCCTTAATGCCATCATCCATCAAAAGGAGCCTTTGGGGGGTTTTGATCACTGGGTCTCCTTTCTAACATCCTCTTAGCTATTCTATGATTAGCCTTTGATGCAAAGTCACTCGTCTGGAAGGGAATGTTCTTGCCGTGACTTTTCATTAGTCATGTTTGCAAAACTGCCGGCCATTCTTTTCCAGTCAATCATTAGTCATCTAGCACCAGTTAATCATAATAGAGGCTGGAATTTGCATCGTTAACTCATGATAGTTGTAAAATCAAAGCACCCACATGACTGTGTCCAATTTTATGACTTTCTTGCAGCAGTCGTTCAGTGAACACAGTGGTCGTTAAGGGAGCACCATGGTTGTTAATTGAATCTCTTTATTGCCATCAGTAGCCTCCCATCGACCAGTACGCTCCCACAGAGAGGGGCTCCTCAGGGTTCCGTCGGCCAAACAATGTCGGCTGGCGGCCCCCAGGGGGAGAGCCTTCTCTGTGGGGGCACCGACTGTCTGGAACGAGCTGCCCCCGGAGATACGGCGGATCCCGGATCTGCGCACTTTCCGCCGTGCCTTAAAGACGTTTTTGTTTCATCAAGCTGGGCTGACCTGACCATATTTTTTAAGTTGTTTTAATTTTAAATTGCTAAATTATGGGTTTTTTAATATGGGGGTGTTTTAACGGTGGGCCAAATTAATTTAATTGGTTTTTAATATTGTTTTAATTTTTGTATTTTCTGTATTTTATCTGCTGGCTGTTCACCACCCCGAGTCCTTCGGGAGAAGGGCAGTATAGAAAATAAATAATAATAGTAGAAGTAATCATCATCATCATCATCATCATCATCATCAATGTATTTCTATGGGTGCTTTTTGCCGGAAGTTGGCCAAAAAGGCGTAAATCAGCAGAAAAAGGTCATAAATCATGGTTACGTGACTGCGGAACACTGCGACCGGCCATTACGTTGAGCCAGTTGACAAGTTGAAATGCGGTCATGTGACTTCAGGGGATGTGCAGCCATTGGTACTCCAGAACTGGTTGTAAGTCAAGGACTACCAGTAAGAGCCGGATTCCACTCAAAATATGGAAAGTTTGACTAAGCTCTGTATTTCTTTCTATATTTCCTCTCATGGTAGTCCATGGTTGTTGATGTTGTCCACTCTCCAAGTTGTGTTTGACTCTTCATGGTCCATAACACAGCCATGTTATCTCCCACTGTTATTTATTTATTTATTATTTTATTTATTAGTTCGATTTATATGCCACCCTTCTCCGGAGACTCAGGGCGGCCAACAATGCGCTAAGCAATAGCCTTCATACTTTTGTATATACCTGCTTAGTAGGGCTTTTGGCCCCCCATAAGTGGTGTTCTTTTTATACAAAGTCAGCTTATTGCCCCCACAAACTGGGTCCTCATTTTACCTACCTCAGAAGGATGGAAGACTGAGTCAACCTTGAGCCTGGTTATATCCTCCTATCCAAAAGAAGGGGACGGCAGAGGATGAGATGGTTAGAGAGGGACATCGACACAATGAACATGAATTTGGCCCCTCTGTCCTCCACTGTTTGAGTCTGCCCAAATTCATGTTCATTGTGTCGATGTCCCTCTCTAACCATCTCATCCTCTGCCGTCCCCTTCTTTTGACTTCCATCTTTCCCGACATCCGAGCCTTTTCCATAGAGTTGTCGAAATACAGGTAGTCCTCAACTTACGATCACAGTTGAGCCCCCAAAAATTATGCTGCTAAGTGAGAAAATTTGTAAAATGAGTTTTGACCCATTTTACGACTTTTCTTGACGCAATTTGTTAAGTGAATCAGTGTAGCTGTTAAGGTAGCATCACGGTTGTTAAGTGAATCTGGTTTCCCCATTGCTTGTCAGAAGGTTGCAAAAGGAGGATCACGTGACTCCGGGACACTGCAACCGTCATAAATATGAGTCAGTTGTCAAGCATCTTCATGTAAATCACGTGACCACAGGGATGCTGCAACGGTCTTAAGTGTGAAAAATGGTCACAAGTCACTTTTTTTTCAGTGATGTCGTAATTTAGAACAGTCACTAAATGGACTGCTGTAAGTCAAGGACCACCTGTATATGGATCTTGGTAGTCCACAGACTTTTTTTTTTTTTTTTAATTTGATTTATATGCCGCCCTTCTCCGGAGACTCAGGACGGCTTACAATGCGTTAAGCAATAGCCTTCATACTTTTGTATATTTATACAAAGTCAGCTTATTGCCCCCACAACTGGGTCCTCAATTTACCTACCTTAGAAAGGATGATTTCCCCTAATCCTGCTCAACTTTATCCTTCTCTCTCTGACTTCCCTGGTGGAGAGCAGAGAGGTGTGAAGTCCAGTTAAAAGTGCAGTTGAAATCCTTCCCATTTTATATGCGCAACACACACAAGTGAGTGGAACTTAGATTGCGTCATTATGGCTGTCACCTTGACTTTTTTGACCACACTGCGTGCACCCAGAGCAATGATTGGCGTTTGGCCCTGTTTTTATTTGGTTCTTCCATTCCTCCTCTCAATCCTTTGCTTGTCTGTTCCTTCCAGATTAATCAAGAAACTGGAGCATACGTGGAAAGCTCTCGTCCATGATGGGGTAAGTTTGAACCCAACTGAATGGTAGCAGATGATGGTTCCACCTTGTCCTCAATTCTGCTGCCTCCCAAAGGGAACTAGCGGAGGAAATTAATCTACCCATAATAAAGAAGATGTAAACCAGTGATTCTCACCCTTTTGTTCACCACGGACTCCCTTTAAATACCTTTCGTGGTTCCAAGACTTACCGTATTTTTCGGACTATAAGACGCACCAGAGTATAAAACGCACCAAGATTTCAAAGAGGTAAACAAGGGGGGGGAAACGTTTTTGCCCTCCCCGGCCCCCAGGAGCACTCTGCAGGCCTCCCAAACCCTCTGTGTTCCCCGTTTTTGCGAAAAACGGGATGTGCAGAGGGTTTGGGAGGGCTGCAGAGTGCTCCTAGGGGTTGGGGAGAGCAAAAACCCAATGCGGGAGGGGGGGTTGGGAGGCCAAAAACAGGCCCGTTTTTCACAAAAACGGGACATGCAGACTGTTTTAGGAGGCCTGCCCAGCCCCCAGGAGCACTCTGCAGGCCTCCCAAACCCTCTGTGTGCCCCGATTTTGCAAAAAATGGCCTGTTTTTGGCAAAACTGGGACTTGTGGGGCGGAGTTTTGGGAGGCCAAAAGTGGCTGTATTCGGTGTATAAGACGCACCAACATTTCCACCCTCTTTTAGGGGGGGAAAGGTGTGTTTTATACTCCGAAAAGTATGATAATTCAAGATTTAAATCACAACATTTCTTCAAGCCTTCGCAGAACCCTTGTGAGGACATTGTGGCCCCCAGGGGTCTGCGGACCACAGGTTGAGAACCACTGGTGTAAACAGTTATGGGGCACTTGTGTTTTGTAATTCTCAGTGTACCGTAACAGACGATACGTTCAGACAACATATCAGTCCATAATCATGGCTTATTGGTTGAAAGCTGTGTTAAGCCGTACAGCTAGGAAACAGCTATTCAAGGTTTCATAGACTCAGAATCGTAGCAGGGACCATAAGGATCATCTAGTCCAACTCTCTGCAAACATTCAATTCAAATGTATAGAATCCTGGAGTTGGAAATGATCCCAAAGATCATCTAGTCCAGCCATAGGCAGGAAAGGCAATTAAACTACCGTTGAAAATTAGCTATCCGTGCTCTTTTTAATTACCTCCACAGTTGGAGAATCTATACCTTCTGCATACAGACCGTTCCACTTGTGTACGTTCCATTTGGTTTAAGCTTACTGTGTGGGTTGCAGAATGTCTCTGCACACAACTGCAGAGACCTTCTTGTCTCCTTATAGAAATTAGATTTGTGCTCTTGGCTATTCCTGAAAGCAGGGCCCGGGGACTGGATCTGGCCCACGGGGTGCTTAGCTCTCGTCCGTGGGGCTGCCCTGGAAACAGCAAAGAAACGGCCCATGGTGCCTCTGCCAGTGAAAACGGAGCTCAGCGGGCTGCAGGCGGCCATCCCGAACTCTGTTTTCGCTGGCAGAAGGTTGCAGGAGGCCATCGCAGGCAAAAAACAGAGCTCAGGAGCCCGTTTTTGCTGGCAGAGCGCTCTGGGCACCACAGGTGCTCCCGACACGAGTGACGAGCCATGCCCACCCTGGCCATACCACCCTCCAGGTCAAACACAACCCTGATGCGGCCTTCAATGAAATCTAGTTTGACACCCCTGCCTTAAAGCCTTTTTCTTCTAGCTTCTGGTTGAACTTGGGAAAAGGTGGATCTCCCTTAGGAGGGGCTTAAACATGGCTACTTTAATGAGCAACAGAAAGGTGCAGTGTTTGCTTGGAATAATTTTCAAAACGTCCATAGTCCACATTTATATTCTAGTATACTGATACCATTTTTTTAATGAATCCTGCAGTCCGATTTTTTTTTTTCCAGAGCCATGGTTTTGTAACGCATGACATTTTTACAAAAACCTTTTTTCCCCCTTTCCTGTTTTCCTAGGACACGGTGTCAGTCCACAGGCCCAGCTTCTATGCAGAAAGGTTCTTCAAATTTATGACCAATACGGTGTTCAGGAAAAGCTCTTGTAAGTGTCGACTGCTTTCATTGGAGACATTAACAATGTTATTGGGGGTCGAAGGTGCTTGCTGGTTAAAAGAGCACCTGTAGGCAGCTATGGAGAGAACAACCTTGGAGGAACTACCCAGAAGGGGTTAAGATAACAGCAGATGTAAAAGTGGGCCTTGACCCCATGAAAGAGGGAAAGCATTAAAAAGAGGCTCAGATAGATTCTCCCTGACTCCCTGGCAAGATCCTGTCTCAGTAAACTATATGATCTGCCAACATTTATGGCTAACGTATAGTAACTGTGAGTTCACTAAAGGGCCAAACGCCACTTAAAATCAGTGTGTGCATATATACAAGTCAATCCTTGACTTACAACTATTTGTTTAGTGGCCATTCAAAGTTACAATGGCACACAAAAAATGACTTCTGACCATTTTTCATACTTATGACCGTTGCACGTTGCAGCATGCTTATGGTCACGCGATCAAAATTTGGTCTGGCCACTGGTTCCTATTTATGACGGTTGCAGTTGTCCTGGGGTTATGTGATCCCATTTTGCGACCGTCTGATGAGTAAAATCAGTGGGGAAGCCAGATTCACTTAACAACCGTGTTACTTACTTCACAACGACAGTGATTCCCTTAACTGTGGCAAGAAAGATAGTAAAATGGTGCAAAATTCATTTAACAAATGTCTCGCTTAGCAACAGAACTGTTTGGCTCAATTGTGGACATAAGTCGAGGACTACCTATATAGTATCACTACAGATAGTCCTCAGTTTACGACCACAATTTCAGAAACCAAAGTTTTCCTTGCTAAGCATGGCAGATGTTTAAGTGAGTTTTGCCTCATTTTACATTTTTGCTACAGTTCTTAAGTGAGTCATGCCATTTATCAAATCTGGCTTCCCCCATCAATTTTGCTTGTCAGAAGCCAGTTGAGAAGGTTACAGATGGTGATCACATGACCATGGGACAGTGCAACTATCATAAATATGTGCCAGTCGCCAAGCGCCCGAATTTTGATCACGTGGCCATTGGGATGCTGCAACGGTTGTGAGCAGGGGTGGGATTCAGCCGGTTCGGATCAGTTCAGGCGAACCAGATGTTAATTTTAATTTGGTTCGCTGAACCGGTTCTTCCAAGGACTGGCTGACCCCGCCCACCCTGCCCCGCCCCTCCCAGGAGTCTCCACACGGCCCGTTTTGGATGACAGGTAAGTGCAGGGTGCTTGTGGAGGCTCTGGGAGGGCAAAAATCAGGCCTACCAGAAGTCTGGAAACAGGCCTATTTCCAGCCTCCGGAGCCCAGGGGAGGCAGTTTTCACCCTCCTGCAGGCTCTAGAAAAGCCTACAGAGCCTGGGGAGGGTGAAAAGCCACCACCACCCCCGGCCGTGGTGCAGGAGGCCGAATAGGCCACACCCCCATGGCCACGCCCACCCAGCAACTGGGCAGGGAAATGGTTGCTGAAATTTTTCAATCCCACCTCTGGTTGTGAGTGTGAAAAATGGTCATAAGTCATTTTTTTCCATGCCGTTGTAACTTCAAATGTTCACTAAAGGAATGGTTGTAAATTGAAGACAATCTGTATAGTCTTTCTGTGAAGTTGGTTTCTTTATCTTGCTTACCTTGTAGGGTTGACAGTACCATATAAAGATCAGGCAATTTCCTGCCTGTCTTTTGGGGGACTGGAATTTCTCCCTCATCCCCTTTCTAAATCTGTTACATGTCATCCACTTTTAGCAAGTGCCTCATTTAGTAACCACTTGCACTTAACGACAGTTATGAAAAAAAATTAACTTTGCAACGAATACTCACATTTACAAATCTTTATTATGTCTACAAAGCAAAGGAAAGTTGAAGCAAGATAAGCACAGTTGCACTCAGTGAGTGCTTTGCTTAATGACCAAATAATGGGTCATTAAATTGTGGTCACTAAATAAGGACGACTTGTTGTACCTACATCGTCCCCCTTTGAAGCAGCACAAACATAGCACAATTATTCTTCCCTCCTCCTCATGTTGTGTTCGTTCTTTGCCACAATCGCAGAGTGGCTGACTAGCTAGAAAATTAGACTAGCAACATAGAAAGGGTCAGCAACAATTTGATTCCAGTGATCTAATTCAGGGGTCTCCAACTTTGGCAACTTTAAGACCTGTGGACTTCAACTCCCAGAATTCCTCAGACAGCCTGAGTTGGGAGTTGAAGTCCACAGGTCTTAAAGTTGCCAAGGTTGGAGACCCCTGATCTAATTAACTTCTGGATTTTTCTGATCCATTCTTTGCCCAGATTTGAGATCCACCCATTGAATTATCAAGGGCGATAAAATTTTGGTTCCTGGCCTACCTACCATCCACCTGTTGCCTATCCTTATTTTATGGGTACCCTTCTGCTAACAAGAATATAGGGAGCGCTTTCTGTCAGGCCCAAGAATTTGTTCATTTCTTCCACGCTGTTTTCCTCTGGCTCACAGTGGTTTTTTTGGCATAAAGAGCTTTTCGCGGCATTTATTAGAATAGAATAGAATAGAATAGAATAGAATAGAATAGAATAGAATAGAATAGAATAGAATAGAATAGAATAGAATAGAATAACAGAGTTAGAAGGGACCTTGGAGGTCTTCTAGTCCAACCCCCTGCTTAGGCAGGAAACCCTGCACAACTTCAGACAAATGATTGTCCAATCTCTTCTTAAAAACTTCCAGTGTTGGAGCATTCACAACTTTTGGGGGCAAGTTGTTCCACTGATTAATTGTTCTAACTGTCACGAAATTTCTCCTTAGTTCTAAGTTGCTTCTCTCCTTGATTAGTTTCCACCCATTGCTTCTTGTCCTGCCCTCAGGTATTAAATTTCGAACTCTCTCCAGAATTTAACAGTGAATTACATGAGGCCGTTCTAGGAATACGTCAGGAGCCCGAACCTGAGACATTTTATACAAAAAATTACCATACCTATAGACATACATAAACTGCAGTGAAGGGGAAAAAATGAATTTTCTCATTTTAGCAGAAAAATGATTATCTTTTAAAACAAGGGTCTATAAATCTCTTCTCCAAGTTGGTTTTTCTCAACCTTGGCTGGGGAATTCTGGGAATTGAAGTCCACACATCACAAAGTTGCCAAGGTTGAGAAATGCTTCTCCAGGTATAAAGCTTTCAATACAAAAAAGAGACTTAGTTGCCAAACAGGTGATAATTAGTAGGTGGCCTACTAATTTGGTCCCAAGGCTCTTAAATTTCTCAGGGGAAAAGACGCCGGTTATTTTCAGGGGAGCGGTGAGTGGGCTTTCTCTTCTAACAGAACCTCCTTGCTTTTACTTATTTTTTTTTCTCTTTGACCTCTTCTGCGACACTTGTCATTGCTCTAAACCCCTCGCTCTTCTCTGCAGCCCTGAAAGCATCTCCCTCAAAGAAAGGACGGAGTGCCTTGTTAGCCGTTAAGCCATCCGGCCCAATGGCTGCGTTCTCTGCCAGCCAGATTCCTTCGGAGAAGGACGAAGTGCAGTATGACCTCCGGGGAGCCAGGAGTTACCCCACCTTAGATGACGAAGGTATTGTGGGTCACTCAGGGCCTTGCTTCTGATTCCCCTGGAGCTGCTCCTAAGGCCCAGTACAAGCTTTTCCCCATCCTGACCTCCTTTTAAGTGGGTTGGTCCTGCCATTCCCTGGATTCCTAGCGAAGTTAACTGGCTGGGGAATTCTGGGAATTGTAGTCCCGACACCCTAGAGGATGCCAGGTTGGGGAAAGCTGCCTTAGCAGCTCAGCTCAACCCATCCCGTCCCCTTTCCCCGTAGTGCCAGTAGGTCCCACCATCCCATTACCATTCCTTCAACTTCTTGCTATGCTTTTGCAGGTGCTAAAGTTAACCTCGACAGGGGGGAAGGTAAGAGCACTCATTTGTCCCTCTGTTAGTTGGTAGAAAGTAGAACTTTTAAGAGATGGTGGGCTTCAGGTCATTCCGCTTGAAGAGTGGAAGCAAGCCAAGATGGTTTATGATCAAGCAAGCTATTTAATCCCTTCCAGTTGGCATCTCCTGCCTGCCAGACCAAGAAAAGCTTCAGAGAAATTTCAAATCATTTGTTAATTCCAGTCAATTTCCAATTCCAGTCAATTTCCAGCCATTAGAATATAAACTAAAAGCAAACCCCACTTCTCACTAGCACTGATGATGTTACCTAGTTTGGGTAATGAAATGTCAGCCAGAAAACCAGCTCAGAGCACCAAGGGCCCTCAGTCATTTATGCACTAAGCCTATGATCTGCTCTGAGCTCCCTTTCCTCACAAGGCAGAATCATAAACCAGAGTTTGTACCTGGTGTCTTTAATCTGGAGCTTTCGGTTCCTCTCGGTCTTGGTGACCAAAGCTGGGACATTCAAGGCATCTGGAGGGTGGCCAAATTGCATATTTCTTCCTGATTGCAGCTATTTCTACCAGCAGGAAAAGCCAACTGGGAGCGATTGTTCCAATTGCTGCTTAATTGTGCTTGTCCCATTGGGAGCATACATGCAAAATGGGCCAAAGATGGTACCTTTAAAAGAAAAATCCTTCCTGCATCAGAAGGCTGTATGACTTAAAGTGGGGGTCTCCACAACCTTGGCAATTTTAAGATTTGTGGACTTCAACTCCCAGAATTCCCTAGCCAGCATGGCTGGCGAGGGAATTTGGGAAGAATTTTAAGAATTGAAGTCCGCAAGTCTTAAAGTTGTCATGGTTAGAGACCCCTGATCTAAGGCATTCTTCCCCAATCTAAGGCCCTTCAGATCAGCAAGCCAAAATGATTCTGGCTTGGAATTCTGGGAGTTAATTTTTCAAGGCATTTTAGTGGCATTGGGTTCGAATGGCCAATTTGAACAACCTTCCTCCCCCCAAGCTATTTACAAGTTGTTTTGGAAGTTACTGCACGCACACTCCGTCCTCCCACCATTCCCATGGTCATTAATCACATTTTGGGTTTTTAGCAACTGGATCACCTTTATGGCTGTTTGCACCATCCTGTGGTCATGTGACCATGATTTGCAAATGTTTTTGTCATAATGTGGCATTTAACTTTCAGTTTCCAGCAAAAAAATGCCCATTGGGGGAAATAGCTTCACTTCACTTCACAACCACCATGTTAGCTTAATGACTACCCCAAAAATGTTTTTAAACAATCAAATCTGGTGATAGGATGCCTTGATTTATGACCACAACAATTTATGACTGTAATTCCAGGCTCAGTTATGGTCTTAAAATGAGGATTACCTGTATATTATTCAAGACAGTGTTTGGGGGGTAAAAAAATAGGAGAAATGAGTAAGGACAACCTTACTCAGCACAGAAGAGAGAAAGAGCAATTAATTCTTAGCAGCACCAATTGAAAGAAAGAATTTCTACATTGAGGTTCTACCGCAGGGCTCTAATCTTATGCAAATTCCAATTCTAACACTCTCTCTCTCTCTCTCTCTCTCCTTGTCTCTCTCTCTCTCTAAATTGGATGCATTTTGCTCTTGGGAGTTCTGCTTGCATTTGCATGTATAACAGATAATTTATAGAAATGAATTTTGAGGGAGGATTTAGAAGTTGGCAGTGTTGAAGCACGAAAAGAGACGGGAGCAGAACCAGAAGAATTTCCTATCTTATCTTGAGCATTTTAGAATGCTAGTTAAATATTTCTTATTGATGCTCTCCACTCCTGAAAATCTCTAAAGAGAGGGCAAGATTAATTGGGAAACAGGTGGCATGTAAAATCTCAACTCCTGTTCCTGAGCAGAAATAGACTTTCATGTTTCTCTGTTTTGTCTGCCACAAAGGAGGACCTCAGACGGCTTCATTTTTTTTTAAAAAAAATTGAAATTATGAATCAGTTACACTCATTGTTCTATAACATGATCAGGACTGTTCAGTTATACAAGGATCATTTGCCATGGTCCAGAAGATTACAGCATGTTTTTTTTTTTACGCAGCCTCAGTATTCTTTCTTTTTGTTCTTTTTCTTCATCATGGGCAATACAGGCCGGCCCGATCTTCTTCCCTGCACCCCTCCCTCTTTCGAAGAAGCAACCACCGCCTCTATAGCAACCACACTCTCTTCCACATCTCTTTCCGTGCCGGAAAGATCTCCTTCCGAATCCTCCGAGCAGCCCAGATACAGGTGAGCCCTGATTAAATCCCTCTCGCCCTACTTTCTCCTGTTTAGTCAGGACCCCCAAGAATTTAAGCTATCTGAAAGTTGTTTCAGAGATCCAGAAAATAAACAGGTTCCTTCTTCAATCCCCTTCTATTGGAACAATTTGCAATAAGAGTGTCAGCTTGGAGGGGATGGATTTATTTATTTATTCGGTGGAATTTATCTGGTTAGGCCAGTGTTTCTCAACCTTGGTTACCTGAAGATGCATGGATTTCAACACCCAGAATTCCCCAGCCAGCTCTGCTGGCTGGGGGATTCTGGGAGTTGAAGTCCATGCATCTTCAGGTGACCAAGGTTGAGAAACACTGTGGGTGCTTACAAATAGGCGCATAATAAAAATGTCATTATAACAATAGCAGAAATAAGAGAACAATATAACTCACTATAATAGCACAATCTAATTCCAGTGCCTGAGCTAGGTGTTTACCACTTAAATTTGCTTTATTTCTTTATCTCTGCCTTGTATAAGAGTGGTGCAGTGGCCTAGAGGTGGAGCTCTCGCCTCACGATCAGGAAGCTGTGAGTTCGATTCTAGGTAGTGGCTGATATTTCTCTCTCCGGGCACAATGAGTAATTATCTGCTGCAAACTCTTCATTGGCGGCAGGAAGGGCATCCGGCCAGTAAACACCTAGCTCCATTCAGTTGCCCCAACTCTACCCCGGTGTGAGGGATTACGGGGTCATTAAAAGACAAATATATACCGTGTTTCCCCCAAAATAAGACCCTGTCTTATATTTTTTTGAACCCAGAAATAAGAGCTTGGCCTTATTGCCATGCGCTCAAAAGTGCGATTGGGCTTATTTATTTTTATTTATTTTATTTCCAATTTATATACCGCCCTTCTCCCTGAGGACTCAGGGCGGTGTACAGCCAGAATTAAGAACATGAAATACAAATATTAAAAAAACAATTAAAATATATATAAATTTGGCCCAAAAATTAAAAATCACAAACCAATTTAAAACTTTTAAAAATTTCTTCTTAAGCCAGCCCGGCTTGCTGGAAAAAGTGGGTTTTAAGGGCACGACAGAAGGCACTGAGGTCTTGGATTCTCCTTATCTCTGGGGGCAGCTGATTCCAGAGGGTAGGTGCCCCCACAGAGAAGGCCCTCCCCCTGGGGGTCACCAGCCTACATTGTTTGGCTGATGGCACCCTGAGGAGGCCCTCTCTGTGGGAGCGCACGGGTCGATGGGAGGTCGTCGGTAGCAGCAGGCGGTCTCGAAGATAGCTAGGCCCTATGCCATGGAGCGCTTTAAAGGTGATGACCAACACCTTGAAGCGCATCCCCTATTATCAGGGGATGTCTTATTTGGGGGGAAGCAGTTGGAAAACTGACAGCCTGGGTTCGAGCCCCGAGCACTGCTTGACTGGGTGAGCTCCTATTACTTGTCCCAGCTCCTGCCCACCTAGCAGTTCGAAAGCACGCAAATGTGAGTAGATAAATAGGTACCATTTTGGTGGGAAGGTAACAGTGTTTTGTGCGCCTCGGCATGTAGTTATGCTAGCCACATGACCATGGAAGTGTCTTTCGGACAACGCTGGCTCTCTCGGCTAAAAATGGAAATGAGCACTGTGTCAGCTTTGGAATCCATATTAACCATATTAATTGGAGTTGGGTTGTTCTGGAACGCTGACACACTGCCCTCTAGAGATGGACACAAATGGACAGGGAAAACTTTTACCTTTACCTGTCATGTATATGCCACTCAGTTCCAGAAAGGCTCTTGAGAATGCCATAAGTGGAGGTGACGCATCCTTACTTCATAGAAGGGGAGCCCTTACATTGGATGTCTATGGAGATTCTCAGTCATCCAGGTCACGGTTGTCCCAAAGGTGCTTTTTCAAGAGGCAACTGGACTTCCTTTGAAGACGTTTCGTGTCTTCAGTTGCCTCTTGAAAAAGCACCTCAGGGATTTACATTGGATGAGGCAGAGAGAGAAAGCTACTTTGCTACCTTTTTAGTCATTCTCATGAAGTGTGTTTTTTGCATGGTGTCCCTTCACAGGCGGCGCACACAGTCCTCAGGACACGAAGGAAGGTGAGCTGGAAACTTTTGCACATCTTGGCGGCCTCTCTAGGAATCCCTCGGTGTCATTGCAAGTCCAAGCAATGTTTTATTCTTTTTAACTCTCCTATGTGCAAGGCCTCATAAGATAACATTCTTATATTACTAGGCCTGTAGATTTCTAATGCTTTACTATCTCCATACTTTATATGAATGCAATGTCATAACTGATCTTCCCTAGTACAGATAGCCCTTGACATACGACTGTTTGTTTAGAGTCTCTTCTCTAAGCTAAGTTGGCTTGTTATTTTACAGGCAGTCCTCGACTTATAACAGTTTTGTTTAAGTGACCGTTCAAAGTTATAACGGCACTGAAAAAAGCGATTTATGACCATTTTTCACAGTTACAACCTTTGCAGCATCCCCATGCTCATGTGATCAAAATTCAGATGCTTGGCTCATGTTTATGACAGTTGCAGTGTCCCAAGGTCACGTGATCACCTTTTGTAACCTTCTGACAGGCAAAGTCAATGGGGAAGCCAGATTTACTTAACAACCAGGTTACTAACTAATCAGTTGCAGTGCAACTGTGGCAAGAAAGGTCGTAAAACAGAGGAAAACTCACCCCACCAATGTGTGGCTTAACAATAGAAACTTTGGGTTCAATTGTGGTCGTAAGTCGAGGACTACCTGTATTTCTTTATTTTTCACAGTTTTGAACCGCCCATCTCCCTCAGGGTTGTTGGTTAAGGAGGGGGGTCATTACTGACTGGCAGACTTTCTAACTTTTAGCTAGAAAGTTATCTTCAGTGAAAAGTCTTTTTAGCAGGGGATGCTGAAAAAAACAGAGCAATATCCTAGAACAGTTGTTTCTTAACCATGGCAGCTGTAAGGAGTGTGGACTTCACCTCCCAGAATTCCCCAGCCAACCATCAAAGTAAATGCTGATTTCCATCGTAAATTGTAGTCATGTGACCATGGATGCTGCAAACAACTGCAAATGCTAGTTGGTTCCAAGTGCCAAAGTGTGGTCATGGGGTGGGGGGGGATTGGGTGGACAGGGTCTATGACCGTGATGGCGAACCTATGCCACGCGTGCCACGTGGCCATATCAGTGGGCACCCAAGTTCAGCTCCGGCGTGAAACAGACTGTTTCCTGTCTCCGGAAGGTCTCGGGGTTATGGGGAAGGCCCATTTTTTGCTGTCCCCAGCCTCCAGAGCCTCTCTAGGAAGTTGGCAAATGGGCCCTTTTTGGCCTCCAGCGGGGGGGAGGCCGTTTTCACCCTCCCCAGACTCCTAGAAAGGTTCTGGAGCCAAGTGAGAGAGAAAAATGGATCTACCGGGCCATCATGTGCCAGGAGCGGGGGGGGGGGGGCAGGGGGGGGTGCGCACGGCTGCACCGGGGGGGGGGGGATTAAATTTAGGGGGGTAGGCATGTAGGCCCCCCCCCAGCTCCCCCCTCTTGGCATGCGATGGCAAAAAGGTTAGCCATCACTGGTCTATGACAATTTGCTGCGACCAAGTCGCCACGGCCAACTTGCTTTGGCCAACACTCTGCGGGAAAAGCTCCCTGGAGGACAAGAGTTATCAAAGAAATGATGGAATAGAATCATTAAAGAAAGGATTCAAAAAGGGAGACAAAGTGAAATCTGAATGACAACAATTAAAATGATTTTTATTTATTTTAAATAATTAAATTGGATTGATAAATTGTCCTGCAGCAAGTTGCCCCGCAGTGAGTTGGCCATGGTAAGGTGGTCAGAGTGAGTTGCTGTGGCAAGTTGTCCCATTCCGGGGTGGGCACAGCCGTTGGAGGTTTGAATCTGGTTGTAAGTAGCTTTGGGAGGGGAGGGGTGTCTGTTGGAGCTTCGAATGGTCACTGAGCCACCGATCGTAAGTCAAGGACTGCCTGCACTAGATTTCTGAAGTGGGATTTTTTCCTTTTCTTTTCCGCAGGACTCGCGAACAGACCCGAGCGGAAGATGACCTCCAGCAGATCACTGTGGAGCTCAAGCCGAAGTGTGATATCGAGATTGTGGTGCCCGATGTGGCTGCTTCAGGGTTAGAGCCTATTTCTGTTACAAATCAAGACGTTTTCAGCCTTGCATGTCTTCATGCTCCTATTTAATGGATGCAATCTCCAAATGTTACTCAGGGAGGCGTCTTTCTATAGTAGATGGGAAACCAGCTCACTATTCTCCTCACTATTTCAAGAAATAATTCCCGAATTGCGAGCTTTTTCCCCTGTGGCAGAGGAAACACATAGAATGCAAACAATTGGTTCCAAACCCACTTTTGTGATATAATTTAAAAATAGCGTCCCTTCCTATATATAATACAAGGATGATGTGATGCAGGTAGTCCTCATTTTACATCGGTTAATTTAGTGACTGTTCAAAGTTACAATGGTACTGAAAAAAGTGACTTATGGTAGTTTTTCGCACTTAGAACCACTGCAGCATCCTGATGCTTGGCAAATGACTCGTGTTTATGACGGTTGCAGGGGTCCTGGGGGGGGTGTCACGTGATCTCCTTTTGCAACCTTTTGACAAGCAAAATCAGTGGAAAGCCAGATTCAGCTAGATTAACCACTGCAGTGATTCATTTAACAAACTGGCAAAAAAAGTCATTCAGTGGGGCAAAACTCAATGTCTCACCTAGCAATGGAAATTTTGGGCTGAATTGTGGTCGTAAATTGAGGACTACCTGTACTTCTTTCAATTCTGTATCCACTACACATAGAAACCAAGTCTGGATGGAGGATGGCTTTCTTTTAACATCTGCTGTGAGCCGACTTGCCAAAAATTGGATGATAAACGGTCTTGCGCTATTAAGACAACATATAATTCAATTTGACACTCACACGCCCAGTTCATACAGGCGTGTTTCACCCTTCTGCTCAGCTGTCATACAGTTTGTTTAGTTTTGGCTTAGAACACATTGTGTGAGATCAGCCGTTGCAGTTGTAAATCACAATGGATGGCTGGATGCACTTAAGGATTCAGCCTGTTGTGGTCCCTTCAGCAAAATATAGTTAATCAAACCAGAACACTGTAGTGCTTGAATTCCATCTCCTTTTCAAAGGGATGATCAGTCAATAGCTCTCAGTTCCCTGAAGGTTCAAACATAAAAGTAGAAATGTTACACATATTTATTGATTAATTCAAATTGTAGGGCCATGCATCTGAACAAGGACTCTGGGTGGCAAACAAAATTAAAGTAAAAACAATTGCAAGAATACAAAATTTAAAATGCATAAGAGAGCCAGTTTGGTCTAGTGGTTAAGGCACCAGGCTAGAAACCAGGAGACAGTGAGTTCTAGTCCCTCCTTAGGTATGAAAGCCAGCTGGGTGACTTTGGGCCAATCAGCAGGAGACTGTGAGTTCTAGTCCCACCTTGGACATGAAAGCCAGCTAGGAGACTTTGGGCCAATTACTTTCTTTCAGCCCAACCTACCTTGCAGGATTGTAGTTGTGGGAAAGATGGGAGGAGGAAGGAGTATTAGATATGTTTGCCACCTTGAGTAGTTTATAATAATAAAGGCTGTATATGCTAAATAAATAAATAAAATATTATTTATTTATTTATTATTTGGACTTATATGCCGCCCTATCTCCGAAAGGACTCAAGGTGGCTCGCAACAATAAAACACACAAAGTTCAATTTTTAAAAAAATTCCCAATAAAACTATAAAGACCATTAAAATCCCTTCTAAAACCCCTTCAGTCCAAGCCGGCCAGGCGAAATAGCCATGTTTTAAGGCCACGGCGGAAAGAGCGAAGGTCAGGGGCCACCCGGAGCCCCAGGGGGAGCTGATTCCACAGGACAGATGCGCCCACAGAGAAGGCCTGTTCCCTAGGGGTCGCCAGCCAACATTGTCTGGCCGACGGCACCCCAAGAAGGCTCTCCCTGTGGGAACGCACCAGGCGATGGGGAGCTGTCGCTGGCCGCAGATGGTCCGCCAAATACCCCGGGCCTAAGCCATGTAGGGCTTTATAGGTGATTACCAGCACCTTGAATCTCACCCGGAGGGCAACTGGTAGCCAATGCAGGTCCCACAGGAGGGGTGTAACATGAGAGTGTCGGGACACTCCCATCACTACCCGCGCAGCCGCATTCTGCACCAGCTGAAGCCTCCGTGATTATGGGAAAATATCCCATAATCACTAGTACAAAAAAAATATATTGATGTCTGCACACACTTGGAGCACAAGCCCAGAGCCAGTTCTTTACGGGCTTTGCAAAAGTCCAGCAGGATTGGGCTCATCCTGATCTCCAGAGGGAGAATGCTCCATAGGGAGGGTACGATGATTGAAAAGGGTGTATTACTTGGAACACTGACAGCGCGTCTGTAAGTCTCCACCAACCAGCATTCCTCAGTCGATAGGAACCAAAGCATGTCCATCTTGCCTGCCCAGATTGGATGGATAGAAACAACCGAGAGAAACAGTCCCTCAAGGGGATACCTAGTCCCAAGCCATGAAGGCCTTTCAAAATGACAGTGAGCACCTTGAATTGCACCCGGAAGCATGCTGGCAATCACTGTAGTTCCCTGAGTAGTGGTATTACACATGCCAAATGACCAGTACCATTAACAACCCCTGCTACGAATTGAAGCTTCCGGATGCTCTTCAAGGGCTGCCCCATGTAGAGGGCATTGCAGTAGTCCAATTATAGTGTTGCTGTTCAGCCAGTGATCAGAGTGTCAGGGTTCCAAGTAATACACCCATAGCGAACAAAACTCTGAGGCAGGTAGATTCCTCAAAGAATAGCTTTATTGGATATATCATATTGGCACAGTTCTGGTGAAAATCGACTCTGAATGTTCCCACGGTTTTCACCTGATTAAAAGTTAAAGTTGTTCCCCTTCCCCAAACGATCAGTCACATGCTCCAGTTGAGGTGCCGTCCGGTTGCCGGGTAACATCACACCTCCTCTCTCTGACCAGGTGTGAGAATGTCCTTGGTTCCCAAGAGAAAGTATTTTGTTTTGGCTACAAAAAATCCCAGCTATCTCTATTCCCCCCTCCCTAACCCTCTGCTCCAGTGTGGCAACACTGAGGCCTCACAATGGCTTCGGTCAGGTCAGCTTCAGGGTTGACCCAGAGCCAATTCAGACAAGTGGTCTTGGCTCCTTCCGAGGTGGGATCTTATGCTTTTTTGAGGGTTGTCTGAAGATACTCGGCAGGAGTGCCGAGCACAAAGTCCAAACTGCCACAGCCTCCATCCTCACCCATCTATCTTCTTTGCAGAGAGGCAGCGTCCTTAGCGTGCGCCACCATGCTGTCGGCGGCAGCGGCGGCGGAGGTCGAGACAGCAAGCCAGGCCTCCGAACCTGCCAGCCAAGCGTCGGATGAAGAGGAGCTCCCGATCCCAGATATCTATTTTGTAAGCCCCCTTTTCGTTTTTGTGCACAAAGCTGCGGTTGGTTTGGCTCTTCTCTCCTTCCTTCCGCTGCTTTTCAGCTTCACTTGCTCCACCCTTCCCTTCTGAAGACTTAAAGCAAACCAACACACCCGCACCAAGGTACCGTCTTGTCTTGTCACCCTGATGCACATTTACCCCTTTGCATTCACGCTCTTTTTCTGCCAGGTTGTCAGAGAAACCAACTGGGAAAGTCTCTTGTCAGAAAATCTCGAGATTCCCTTGAAATAAGTAGAAATGTGTCCCGCTGGGCTTCTCCACGGCTTCCAGGCGCATTTGTGAATGGTTGTCTTTCCTTTCCCTGCAGGCAGGAACATGTTCAGAGGAGGAAATCTAGAGAGGCAGAGCAGGGAGTAAGTGAGCAAAGGAGTGTGTGTGTGTGTGTGTGTGTGTGTGTGTGTGTGTGTGTGTGCAACCATGCTGTGCTAGCTTCTGCGAAAACCTCAAAATTGTGTCAAGAAGATCTCCATCTTTCCCAGAATCCAATGTTTCGACCTTGTTAAGTCTCCTTTGAAGTCAAGCGTGAGTCTCTTGGCTAAAAGGAAACGTGGTGGATTTCAGCAGGAACGTTTTTCTTAACACAAACTCGTCTAACCTTTGATTGAAGCCAGTGTACAGGTAGTCCTCAATTTACGACCACAATTGAGCCTAACATTTCTGCTGTTAAGCAAGAGAGTTGTTAAGTGAGTTTTGCTCCATCTTATGAGCTGCTTTGCTAGAGTTGTTAAGCTAATCACTGCAGTTGTTAAGTAAATCATGCGGTCGTTAATTGAATCTGGCTCCTCCTCTCCCCCCCCCCAACACATTGACTTTGCTTGTCAGAAGCCAGCTTGGGAAGGTTACAAATGGTGATCACATGACCCTGGGATAGCGTAATTGTCATAAATACATGTCAGTTTCCAAGCATCCAAATTTTGATTACATGACCATGGAGATGCTGCGACGGTCATGTGAAAACCGGTCATAAGTCACTGTTTTCAGTGCTGTTGTAACTTTGAACAGTCGCTAAATGAATAGTTGTAAGTCAAGGACTACCTGTATCCCCAAGACATAGCTGTGTCCAGCTGCTCGAAGACAACTTGGAAGGAGGAGTCCATCTCTTCCACAACTAATAATCAAATTGCTCTTTTTAACAGAATATTCTTCTAATGTCCTCCTGCTGTCTCTCTTCCATAAACCTTCCTTCCTGCACCCTGAACCAGCAAACAGCCAGTCGTTTTTGCCTTGCAAATATCAGTGTTTCTCAACCTTGAGAGCTTTAACTTGTGTGGACTTCAACTCCCAGAATTCCTCAGCCAGCATGGGGGTTGCTGGGAGTTGAAGTCCATATAAATTAAAGCTCTCAAGTTTCTTGAGAAACGTTGTCCTGTGTAGCATCCCTTTAAAGATGTTGCAGACTGAAGTTGCCTCTTTTCCCCACAATTCAGGCATAAATCCGGATGACCTCTAGAGGGTCACACAGAGACGCAGAAACATCTTTGCTGCCATCAGCTGCAGTCTGTCCTCAGCATTCCTATAGAGTTGCTCTTTCTATGATTTCATTTTAGTCAAAAAATTTATATGGCTGCCCAACTCACTCACAGTGACTCTGAGCAGCTTTACAGAAATAAGTCCCAATACGAAACCCAATAAACCCTTCCCCCCGCAACAACAATCATCAAACCACTTGATGGGCTCCATATCACCCTGGAGTCTCCAGGCCCTCTGGCGAAACCATGTATTCAGGGCCTTTTGAAAGTGTGTCAAGGTGGGAGCCAATCTTACCTCCATAGGGATGATGTTCCACAGGGAAGGAGCCACCATGGAGAAAGGCCCTTCTTGGTCTCACCAGATCAGGAATAGGCAACTATGCCCCCCCCCCCCTTTACAGTCTGTGGACTTCAACTCCTAGAATTCTGGGAGTTGAAGCCCACTGGTTGTAAAGCGGCCGTATTTTGTCTACTCCTTCCCAAATGGTTCTCCTTAGGAGAGGTGACTCATAACATACCCTGTCTCTCCGCTCTGGTAGATCAGATAGATATAAGGGGGAAAAGACAGTCCTTCAAATAACCGGGCCCCATTATGGTTAAAGCCATCGTAAGGGGGCCACAGGGCAGCACCCACCCACCATCTTCCTTAAACAGATCCTCAACCTTGGCCTTAATTCTGGATAAAGATCCCTCTCTGCCTCTTCCCGCTTGACTTCCTCCTTTTTTTGTCATTTCTCCACTTCTCCCACCAGCCTGCAGGAAGAATTGCCTTGTGAATGATGGTTTGGGTTGCGTTTCAAGTGCATGTGAATTGGAAATGCATGTGAAGAAGCTTTGCATTTGACTTTCTTTGAGGCGTGTTAGTTCTCTCATTCTCTCTTCCCAGATCTGACTGAGTATTTTGATTTCTTACCTGCAGAGTTTCCCATATGTGCTTTAAAAGGCAAAATCTGTAACCAAATGCAAACAAGGCTGATTTAATCCGAAGGTAGACACAAGGCTGATTTAAGTAGCCTAACCTAATGTGTTACATTTGCATTAACAACTCTGTTAATCCTGAGAAGGCAACCCCCTGTCTGAACTGATTATTATAACTGAATGCCTTACATCAGGAGTGCCAAACTCATGTTGTCACGGCAGCATCACGTGACGTATCGGGACTTTTCCCCCTTTCGGTAAACCGGGCGGGGGTGTGGCCAGCATGTACGCATCTGCCCACGGGCCGCGAGTTTGACAGCCCTGCCTTACATTTAATCCTTGACTTACAACTATTCATTTAGTGACTATTCAAAGTAATAAGAGCACCGAAAAAAAGGGACTTAATGACTGGTCCTTGCGTTTAATGACCATCATAGCATCCCCACGGTCGGTCATATGATCAATAATTTTGGTGCTTGGCAACTGGCATGTATTTATGATGGTTGCAGCATCCTGGAATCATGTGATCACCATTCATGACTTACCCAGCTGGCTTCTGATGAGCAGAGTCAATGGGGGAATAGCTGGATTTGCTTAACGAATTAATGAATTCACTTAACAGCTTAACAACCGTGGCAAAACAGAATGTAAAATTGGGCACAACTCTCTGAACAACTTGCTCAGCAACAGAAATTTTGGTCCCAATTATGGTTGTATGTCGAGGACTACTTGTACAGTATTCAGTTTTGGAGCAGTGGCTACGCAAGTTCACGCTTCGGTTTCACGCACCAACCTTTTAAAATTAGGTTATACGTTGATATTTCAAAGGCCAGAGCAGAAGTGAAGCATGGTAAATATTAATAACTGTAGGCAGTGAATAATTGTCCACTTTTCGCATGTGCATGTCTCCCCTTGTTTGAGCCTAGCGGTCATGGATTTGCTGTGTCAATCAAGCGAGTCAGAGCTTGCTTATTTCCGTTCTCTGGTTCTGTGCCCACTGGACCATTGTTTCTTTGTCCCTGGGAAGACAGAACTCAACATAGCAGGACCAGAAAGCCCTTTGCAAATGATTAATAGCATGACTTCACCCAGACCTTAGAAAAGCTTGCAGAATGCATAGTATTTTGGCCCTCTGTTTGTATCCATGGAAAGAAAGCCCAAGGAAGCCCGTGGCAGCAGAAACATATTATTTTCTTCCATGGCAGCCGAGTTCTCACAACACCCATCTCTTTCAAAGCATGTCTTCTTCACCGTGTTTCCCCCCCATCATGCTTGTGCACGCTTACCTTTTCCACCAACATGGTCATATCTTATCTTTGGTTCATCCTTTCTCCTCTCCTTCCTTTTTCTTTCTTCCGCCCGCCTCCTTCCCTTCTCATTCGCCTTTGGATGTGCCCTGTCTAGTTCACAGAAGGAAGGTACTGGATTTTCTCTCCCCGCCTGCGCAGGCTCCGAACCGCCTCAGTTTCCTCTGGGGACGTAAGTGATTTTGCTAGTAGAAAGGGCGGCTCCATCCCAATTTTGAAATGCCAGCTTGGGGGCGAGGCATCTGGGCTCCTGCCGTGCCGGTGATGGCGAACCTTTTTGACTCGGCGTGTCAAATATTTGGAAAATGTCTAACTTGACTGTGCTGGTGTATCTCACACATCCCCCCCCCACACCATCTCTGAACAAAAGAGAAGCAAATCTTTATCTCCTCACCCATCTAAGCTACCCTGAACAGTGGCACTCAATGACAGCACCAAGACTGGGCCTGGAGGAGAAGCCTGGGCTGCAACTTCAGCCCTTAGTGCCACAGCTGCCACTCAAAAAGTCTGCCTTGCACCGTTCCCCAGGATGTACAAGACTTGGGGAATGGTGTGGTTGCCTCTGCAGCCCAGCAGTCCCCAAATTCCACTGTGTACTTTCTACCTTCAGGCCATGTCCTCTTTCTGTTGACAGGCCCTTGTGGCCTATAGGAGGCTGCTCTGGGTCGCACAAGGCTTGTGTTCTTGAAGCAGCATGAGAGAATGCTCTTCCACTGCCTCTGCAGCCGGTAAAAACACACCCCGTTCTTGCACGGCCTCCAAAAATCACGGGAGGGCAGAATGTGCTCTCGAGAACAGCTGTTGCCAGGTATTGTTGAAGACTGGTGTGTTACAAAACCTTCTTAGGCAGCCCAAGTCCTACTCCGCATTTGCACTGTAGTCTCCTGGCCAATGTAACATCGCCACACTAAAACGTTGTGGCATGTCACTTTTGACACAGTTGTTGTGGGTTCGCCATCATTGTGCTAGGCTCACTTGTCACAGGCCACTGTCAGCTGAGCAGAAGGCTCAGCTCTTCCTCTGCTTAGGCTCTTAGGCTCTTCCTCTGCTTTAAAAAAAGGAAATTGCTTTGAGGCCCCCAGCTTTCCTGTTTTCATGAGACACATTTGAGCTTTCTTAATAACGGCATGATTTAGTGGTTATTCTGCCCTGCACTAGGATTTTTTTTCCAATTTGGAAACAGTTTAAATAAATAGATATTAAATTCACAGCCAGCAAGGATGGCAACAGCCATTCCTAATCCATAACTTACTCTTTCAGTGCCACTGATCTTCCTTGCTCTTAACATAACCAAGGTTGGGTCTTCGGTGTTACCTTACACAGGTATCAAGCCACCTTTCCTAACCTGGGTTTGTTCTCCTTCCAGGTATGTTAATTTTCAGGGCCCAAATTCCCAGTCAGCAAGCCTGATACAAATGTAATACACCCTGCTGGCAAGAAGGGAAATTTTGAATAGTATGTAAAAAAAAAATAGCCCTCAGTGTTAGAGTCGTGGTAGCGCAGTGGTTAGAATGTAGTACTGCAGGCTAATTTTGCTGACTGCCAGCAGTTTGATTCTGACCGGCTCAAGGTTGACTCAGCCTTCCATCCTTCTGAGGTGGGTAAAATGGGGACCCAGTTTGTTGGGGGCAATAGGCTGACTCTGTAAACCGCTTAGAGAGGGCTGTTCAAGCACTGTGCTATTGCTATTAGAGGAGGGTGGCTTTTTAAAAAGAGGACGAGGAAAGATTTGATTTTATACCTCCCCTTTTGGCAATTCAAAGTTCTCTCTCCTCCATTGTGGTGGTGTAGGTAGAAGAAGCTCTGTGTTCCCCCTGGCTTGCCTGCTAGGCCTCCTCGGTTGTTCCGTTGAGGTAGGATATGCTGCGCAAACAAGGTATGGGCAGGGACCGTGGCCATTCACTAGCCATGGCCTGGGTTTTCCTTCCCAGCATTTTTGGAGTTCCCCAAAGCAGCCTTTAATTTTCGACTTCCTTTCGAAGCCAGGGTTTAATGGCCCTCCTTCGAAAATTGGACATTTCTGGCTGGAATACTGAATCCAGTTTTGGTTGCCACGAATAAAAAAATGTGTGAAGACTCTGGAAAGTGTGCAGAGAAGAGCAACAAAGATGATTAGGGGATTGGAGGCTAAAACATAATGAAGAACGGTTGCAGGGATTTGATACGTCTAGTCTAGTGAAAAGAAGGACTGGGGGTGACATGATTGCAGTTTCCAATATTTTAATAGATTGCCATAAAGAAGAGGGGGTCAATCTGTTCTCCAAACCATCTGAAGGCAGGACAAGGAGCAATGGGCGGTAACTGATCAAGGAGAGAAGCAACCTAGAACGAAGGAGAAATGTCCTGACAGTTAGAACAATAAATCAGTGGAACGACTTGCCTCCATAAATTGTAGGTTCTCCAACACTGGAGATTTTCAAGAAGAGATTGGACAGCCATTTGTCTGAAATGGTATAGAGTTTCCTGCCTGATCTTGGGGTTGGACTAGGAGACCTCCAAGTTCTCTTCCAGCTCTGTTGTTTTATTATTTTTCAGTGTGGCACAAGACAGGATCCTGCAGTATCTTGCCAACCAGGCACAGGGCAGAATTCCCCCCCCCCCCCAGGCGAGAGGGCTATCAGCTGTATCTCTGTGTGATGTCCCATCCCATTCATCTCTTAGATAAACAAAGGAGATAGGCAGTTTTCTTGCACAACTTCATTGGATTGATCTTAGGACAATAGAGGTGGTCCTCGATTTACGACCACAATTAGACCCAAAATTTCTGTTGCTAAGCAAGGCAGCTGTTAAGTGAGTTGTGCCTCATTTTACGACCTTTTTGCTAGGGTTGTTAAGCAAATCCCTGCAATTGTTCAGTGAATCCTGGGTTGTTAAGCAAAGAATTAAGCTAAATTCTAAACCTAGTTGAAATGTCATTTAAAAATAAATAAAATAAAATCGATTTATATGCCACCCTTCTCCGGAGACTCAGGGCGGCTTACAATGCGTTAAGCAATAGCCTTCATACTTTTGTATATTTATACAAAGTCATCTTATGGCCCCCATAATCTGGGTCCTCATTTTACCTACCTTAGAAAGGATGGAAGGCTGAGTCAACCTTGAGCCTGGTGAGATTTGAACTTGCAGTAATTGCAGGCAGCAGATGTAAGTAGATGTTAATTAGTCTGCTGAGCCACCAGCATTGAAGTTTGCTTTCAATTTTAATTTCGGGAGAGGGAAGGAAGGAAAGTTGGCCATCAGGCTCCCTGAAAGATCACTGGATCTTCACAGCTGACTATGATAGATCCCAGTGCTGTGCCATAAAAAGCTTTAATAATTAGTTTTTGGCGTGGAAGCATTCAGGCTAGGATCAGGATTAGGACAGTGTAATCCTTACACTGTCTTTTGTACCTGCTTTACCTTCTGGCTCTTCTCCATAGGCAGCCCCCACCTTACAATAATGCAAATGGGTGATTTTCAAGAGTTTGAGATACTTATAATTTGTTTATTTAAAAGTGTTTAAAAAATTCAACATTTTATAGAATTCTACATTTTCCAGGGAAGATCTTTGCAGTATTGATTAATTCCCGTAAGCCAAAATTTCCTCAGGTGCAAAACAATACCCTAATCAAGGAGCTACAAGTTCCCAGTTTTGATCATGTGACCAAGGGAATGGAATGGAATAGAAATAGAAATAGAAATAGAAATAGAAATAGAATAGAATAGAATAGAATAGAATAGAATAGAATAGAATAGAATAGAATAGCAGAGTTGGAAGGTAATTTGGAGGTCATCTAGTCCAACCCCCTGCTTAGGCAGGAAACCCTTCACCATTTCAGACAAATGGTTATCCAATCTCTTAAAAACTTCCAGTGTTGGAGCATTTACAACTTCTGGAGGCAAGTTGTTCCACTGGTTAATTGTTTTAACTGTCAGGAAATTTCTTCTTAGTTCTAGGTTGCTTCTCTCCTTGATTAGTTTCCATCTGTTGCTTCCTGCCCTGCCCTGCCCTGCCCTCAGGTGCTTTGGAGAATCGGTTGATCCCCCTCTTCTTTATGGCAGTCCTTCAAATATTGGTAGACTGCTATTATGTCTCCCCTAGTCCTTCTTTTCATTAAACTAGACATACCCAGTTCCTGCAACCGTTCTTCATATCTTTTTGGCCTCCAGTCCCCTAATCATCTTTCTTGCTCTTCTCTGCACTCTTTCTAGAGTCTCAACATCTTTTTTACATCATGGCGACCAAAACTGAATGCAATATTCCAAGTGTGGCCTTACCAAGGCATTATAAAGTGGTATTAACACTTCACGTGATCTTGATTCTATCCCTCTGTTTATGCATGGGGTTGTTGCGACTGTCATATTGCGAAGCCTGGGTTGCAGGTCACTTTTTTTCAATGACACCGTAACTTTGAACGGTCCCTAAATGAACTGTTGTAAGTCGAGGGCTACCTGTGTAAGTCGTAAGTGCATTGCTATTGAGAAGCTAAGTTTTAAGGGAACCAAACTCCTTCAACGCAATGATTCTCACCTGAGCTGACCTTGATGGGTGCTTTGATAGGTAAGTGGGGGTGGGAAAGCATCGACTTCTGCGTGAAAGCTGAGCTCCGTCCTTGTGTTTCTTTTTTTCTCTCTCCAATCATGTAGTTTTTCTTGTTGGTGTTGTAGCTTTCATCTCTCTCTTTTTCTCTCTTTCCCTTTTTCCCCCCCTTTCCTCTTTTTATTTTTCTCTCCTCCCCGCCCTCTGCTGCTTTCTTTTGCTCTCTGCTTTGCTGTCCGCCAGCCGACAGACGAGAGGAGCTGGGTCTATTCTCCTCTCCACTATAACACTCAAATCCAGTCAGTCTCTGACGAAGAGAGTGATACAGTAAGTTGGTGTTCATGCCTGTTCGTTTTTTTTTTCCATTTTGTTTCGTTTTTAAGAAGGGAGCACAGTTGTTGCGTGGCCCATCCCTGCCAGAAAGTTGCACTGCCAGTTAATCCTGAGCGATCTTGGGAAGCTTCCTGCATCTGCAAGTGTATGCGCCTCAAAAAAAAACAGCGTCCTGGTTTCCACAAGTCTGCATTTCCTCCTAGACTCACTCAGAAAGGAATTGGAACGTGACTTGACATAAAGCAGCTGTAGAGACTTCAATGTCGCAGTTGCCCAGATGGCCCATTTTTTGTAGTTCTGAATAATAAAACAGAGGGCAGAGCAGGGGGCTTTCTGAGGGCACCCTCTAAACCCTAGGGCAGTATTTCTCAAACTTGGTCACTTTTAAGATGTGTGGGCGTCAACTCTCAGAATTCCCCTGGCAGACATAGTGGCTGGGGATTCTGGGAGTTGAAGTCAACACATCTTAACATTGCCAAGATTGAGCAACACTACCCTAGGGCACCCTGGTTCTTTCAGGAGTTTTAAAAGGCCAGTTCTGTCAGGACGTCTTCATACTGTGGACATCTTGAGGCCAACCCCACGTTGACTATCCAGTAGATCCCCATCTGTGCTAATATATCTAGACTCTGGTGGAGAAACGAGGCTGGTGTCTCAAGAAAGCCGTTCTCGGATTAACCAGAACCATGATGTCAGCAGATCCCAGCTGCCTTCATACCATCTTGAAGAGAACGGCCCGGTGCCTGCTCACTTGGGAGGGAAAAAAAAGACTCCTTTAAATTCTGGGGCAGAAACAGAATAAGTGAGAGCCACTGCGGTCTAGTGGTTAAGGCACCAAGCTAGAAACCAGGAGACAGTGAGTTCTAGTTCCGCCTTAGGCAGGAAAGCCAACCGGGTGACTTTTGACCAATTACCAGGAGACCGTGAGTTCTAGTTCTCGCCTTAGGCACATGAAAGTGACTTTAAGCCAGTGCCTGTCTCTCAGCCCAACCCACCTCACAACGTGGTTGTTGTGGGGGAAATTAGCTTTCTCCACATCTGCAGTAAATTATTACAGTATGCTGGCTGAGTCATCTCCTGGGGTCTTCCCGTGTGCAAGCCAATTCCAGAGTCTTCGGAGAGGGGCGGCATATAAATTGAACTAATTGAATTGAATTAAATTAAATTAAAGGTTCAGAGAGAGACTAGATTTTCAGTTGCCACCTAAACCACGGCTCTCCAACCTTGGCAACTTTTAAGACTTGTGAACTTCAACTTCTAGAGTTGCTCAGCCAGCTTTGCTGGCTGAGGAACTCTGGGAGTTGAAGTCCACAAGTCTTAAAAGTTGCCAAGGTTGGAGACCCCTGGCCTAGATCCACCATAGGATAATGGCTGTTCTCCCTGCCTTTGCCTAATTCTATATTTGGACAGATACCCCACGAGTCCCACTTCCTTCCACAAGTCTTAAAGTTGCCGAGGCTGGAGACCCCTGACCTAAACCATGTCTATAATTGCTCAATATCCGTTTATATTTTCCAATTCTCAGCATAAATCCCGAGAGATTAAAAGCCACCCCTTTGGATTGGACCGTTCCTCTTAATGCTGTCCTCTCTTCCTTTTGTCTCCCTTCTCTTCCCACCCACCCCCACCCCCCTGCAGTAACTTCTATGCAAAACTCCTCGAGAGAAACGTTCCTCCTGACGCCGTTTGCGGCATTCCCTTTTGATGTCCCTTGCAGCTTTTCGGAGGGAAAGGCGTGGAAGAATGTCGTGCATCAACGTCGGCTGTGCTTCAGCATCCCAGCGTTACCCGGAAAGACAAAGCGAAACCGCCCCCGAGTCCCATCTCCTTCCTCCCACCAACCTTTCTCCAAAACGTGTATATTAATACCTCTCCAAGCAGTTACCTACAAACTGATCTTGGCCCCAGAGACATCAGAGGTCGGAAGGAATTCGATCCTGGGTCGCCACCTCTCTCTCTTTCTCTCTCTCTCTCTCTCTCTCTCTATTTATTCCCAAAGTGCACTACTGTAGCTCTCTTATCTGTATGTGATACTGTGAACATTTTTTTAAAAAAAATCATGTATTTATTTTGTTTCTCTTTGCACAAACAGCACGCTTGTGCTTTTGTTTTGGTTTTTTTTTCAAAAATAGTTTTATTGCACTTTTAGGGTGTTAGGGGAGAACAGATGTTGTTACAGATGTTGATGGCCTTTGGTGATGGAGATTAGAAGAAAGAAGCAGCCTTTGAACAGAAGGGGCAGCCGGGCAGGAGAGGCTGGCAGAGCTGTGGAGCTGATTATAAGAGTGTCTATCAAATGCCATTTTGGGTTGATCACTTGGTGGCCCCCACTTCAATTTCTTAGCAAGAAAAAAAGGCTTCAATCCCAGCTGGCTCACGAAGATTTGAAACTTGGAACCTGCCCGAAGCTTCCTTGGTATCTATTGGAGTGGGGTTTTTCCTCCCAGTTGAATGTGCATCGTCCCTCACGCCCGCCATCTTTGTTCGAGAAGGTGGCCGAACCCAGCTCTGTTCCATGCGAAGCTATGCTTAGCAGCGTCTTCAGGTTGATTTTACGGCAGCCTCTGGGCAGAGTACTGGATTTCTGGAAACCTCACATTGGAGGCTTCTTCCTGGCTTCTCTCCCTGCTGCGCCCAGTGGAGAAGCTGGGTTGACTTAAGCCATAAGAGGCGCCAAGCTGCGAGGTCCTCAAGATTGGAGAGAAGCTCCCTGGGAAGGCTGGCAGGGGATAAAAAGCACGGAGAAGGCCCGTTTAGGAGGTCTTGGCAGCTTTTTAAGAAACTGGGCTCTGTTCTAAGGGCCACGAAGCAGCTCTCACTGAGGAGAGAAGCACCAGAGGACTTGCTTACAGCCCCTCAGGATCGCACTGTCGTCGTGCATGTGGCAGGTCTCAATACGGAGAGGACAAAAATGAACTCGGTTGTACCCAGAAAAGGCAGCAGAGAAACATCTATTCCATGCGGAATAAGCTGTTTCCTTTTGGGGAAGCGGCTGGGGGGAAAAAAATGGCGTCTTCCAGACCCGCAGCTGCTGGAGGACTTCCACAGCTGTAACAGTATTTTCTTTTTTGGATGGCACAAAATGGTCTCTGGTTTGTGGGTGGGTGGGACGTCTCTTAAATAGCAGCCTTTGGAGATGCAAGATAATCTCATGAGTGCAGTATTCAAGGCCAGCCAAGTCACTCTGTCCGCTCCAGCTGATGAGAGGCCCCAAAGCTGCTTTTTGTGGGGGGTGGGGAGTATTCAAATTTAAGTCGGTGCCTCTGTAAAGGCCCTGCTCTTGTAAAACGGAAGAGAGAGCCGAAGGCAGCTTCCATCTTCCTGGTAATCCTACTACGAGGTGAGAAACCTGAAATTCCTGTGATGTGCAGGTGATCCCTTCACCTCCTGGAGGTCCAAACCAAGCACCACCTTGAAGTGCCGTCTTCTCATCGGTTGAAATTTTCTCCCTATAAAAGGGGAGAAGAAAGCAGGTTTAAGAAGGCCTTGGGCAAGCAAGGTAATGGCTAAGTGCTATCCAGTGTGTGTTAGGTTCTCATTCCATGACTGTGAGGAAACTGGGGAGATCCTTGCTTTCCGTCTAAGTTTTGGGGGTATCCCCGTGCTGGAACTTCTCGACCTCTCATTAAACATTCCAGAACGCAACTGGAAACGACGTTCTTTAAAGTGACACTATAGTTTTATGGCAGATTTTGAGAAAGTTTCTTTAGGCAGCTACAGGTAGAATGGTTTCTCTCTCAATGTTGCCCAGTGGACCTCTGGTTCTGGTTCTCTTCGAGTGCCCAAAGTGGCTTGCCTCCTCCTCAACCTTCTTATTTTCTCTCCTGGCATTCCGGATTCCATTTCCAACCACCGTAATGTCTTCTCCCCTCTCAAGGTGCCAGTTGTCAGGATGGCACCTTTCTTTTCAGGCTGAGGTGGCACGGCCCTCATTCCTCCCCTGCTTGAACTTGCTCCCCGTGCAGGCTATGGACTCAGGGCAAGCTGCAGGCCAAGCTTTAGTCCTCCTTTGCAGACCAAGCCACAGTGTCTTCCATCTTTGGAGGAGGTGGGCTGATCCATCCGTCAGCAAAGCAGAGAGAAAAACGGCAGCTTTTCCTTTCCCCTACCTGGCACAAGGCACAATCAAGAGGCCCGTTCTTGTGGATTTCAAAGATGGCATCAAATCTGGAGCATCCTGGTCAGGGACGGTCATTTTGGAGTTGGTTGCTCTTATGGTTGAAGGATGGAAATGGCATTTGACCCGTTGATTGGCCAGTTATTGACGATGCTTGCAAGATTCCTTGACGTGCATTGATTCCTTTGACTTGGGGATATCAAACAGTTGGCTTCGTCTTCTGTGATTGGCTGGTAGCCTAAAGGTAGGCAGAGTAAGAGAGATGGCCACCCTCTGCTAAACTCGGCCATGGATGAGGTTCCCTTCGTATAAGTTTGTCAGCTGTGGTTTTCAGCCAAGGTGACCAAGACGCCATCCTTGGGAAGCATCTTGTCCACGTCTTCCTCGCCCTGACCCCAGCAAGAAAGGCCGGCTGACAGCTTCCATCCTCTTCTTCCTCCTCTCGGTTTCTTCAATGGAGAGAAAAATCAGCGTTCGGACCACCAGATACTATTCTGAATGACTTTTGTCGATGTCTACATTAGACTTCCTGAGTGTGCATATATGCTATATATGTATATATATATACATATATATATATACTTACATATGTTTTTTTTTTCTTTTTCCTTTTTTTTTTTTGAAAAAGTATTTTTTTAAAAGAACATCTCCATGTTACATGCTTTATACACAGAATGTATAGGATTTAAGGATTGTGTTCAGGGGTGGGTGGGAAAGAGAACAGTTGAGTGATCTTTTCATTTTTTCTTTCTTTTTTTTTTTTTGCAAAGAAAGGTGTATTCCTTGGGTCACAAAATACTTCTTTGTTGGGGGAAGAATCTTGGCCTTCAAAATGTAAATTGTTGCATATTACAAAGTGGTGCAGCTGAAATGGCGTGGTTTTTTTTTTTTTTTAATGTGAAACAAGGCACAATTTCCCTCATGCACATACACAAAGCAGAAATCTCTCTTCCCTCTCTCCCCGGCTCTCATCAATAGTTTTTTAAGTGAGTGATACGCCAAGAAGGGGCCAAAAGTGGTTTTTTCTCAAACCTGGTAACTATATGAGGTGTGGACTTCAACTCCCAGAATTCGCAGCCAGCCATGCTGACTGGGGAATTCTGGGAGTTGAAGTCCACACATCCTAAAAAGGCCTAAAGTTGAGAAACCCTGGTCTAGATGGATGCCATCAATCTATTCCTTTCATAAGGACATTAAAAGGGGCAGGTGGGTGTCTTAATTGCTATTTTTAAAAGAAAAAAAAATCTGACTATATTCCCTTGCTGATGTTTTCTTTCCATTTTATTATCTCTTGATCCTAAGCTCCTTAAGAATGCGTATTTTCCTCAAATTTGGGGTCCCGTTTCTCCCAAATCGGGCATGCCACATTTTTCTCCAGTGATAAACTTTCCTGGCTACCTTCATTCTTTTAGTGACCCAAGTGCAAGCAAACTGGTCAAAAACTGCCTCCTTTTTTTTCTTGTTTATTGAGTGGTATTTGTCAGTAATCTCACCATTATTTATACCTGTCCAACCTGTGCAATTTTAAGACTTGTGAACTTCAACTCCCAGAATTCCCCAGCCAAAGCTGCCGAGGTGAGACACCCCTGGTTTATACAGTGAACCGCATTCTTCATTTAAAGAAATGTCAGTGTTTTAAAATTTCTCTTGCCAGGCTGTAAGAAGGGGAGAATCCTTTAAAATTGAGATTTCTCTCTTGTCGGCCTTCATTTTCTCTTGCAGGAAGTGGGACTCGTGGGGTGTCTGTCCAAATATAGAATTAGGCAGAGGCAGAGAGAATAGCCATTATCCTATGGTGAATCTAGGCCGGGCAACTTTAAGGCTTGTGGACTTCAACTCCCAGAGTTCCTCAGCCATCTTTGCTGGCTGAGGAACTCTGGGAGTTGAAGTCCACAAGCCTTAAAGTTGCCAAGGTTGGAGACCCCTGATCTAGGCCATTCTGAAGCTGATCTCTTTCTCACTCCAGTGGCTCCATTCAGACCCTATTCACACTCCCATCAAGTCACAATGGTTTCCTTTAAAGGCCAGGAGCCTTCCAGTTCCTCAGTGATCTGTGGGCACCTCACTGGTCACAACTACAGCCCCACACCCCACCCCTGACCCACTTTTCTAGGAGGAACCAGAAGATGTTGCATCTCAAGAATCTTCTGTCGGGATGAAGTACGGGGGGCGGGGGGGAGAGGAGCAAGGAGGAAGAGGGGCTCCTAGTTGGGTTTTTTTTTATTTATTTTTTTAAAAAAGGTGCTAAGATGGCTTCTTCCACCCTCAAAATGCAGGCATCTGCTCGTTCTTCCGATGGTGGCAGGGCAGCCATTTAGAGTTGTTTTAATGTAATTTTAATTGGGGACGGGAGGGAGATAACGGATCAGGGGGTTTGTTTTGATGTTTTCTGTTGATGTTTCTATTTTGTAAAGCGCCCGGTCTATACAAGGGTGACATTTTCTGTTCATAAATAAATAAATAAAGATGGCTTCTCTGCTGAGATTCCTCCCTTGGCCAGAAAGCAAGGGCCAGGCTGCCTTTGTAGAGATCCCCACCCCTCCCCTCTTTAAGGCCTTCTCCTTTCAGGCCCATAAGATGAGAAGGAAGGCCAGCAAGCAGGCTGAACCTGTGGCCCACCAGACTGTCCAGGAGGCAGGTTTTCCCCCGCTACAGATAGTCCTCGACTTACAACGGTTCATTTAGTGACCAAAGTTGCAATGGCGCTGACAAAAGTGACTGAAGACCATTTTACAGATTAGATTAGAATTCTTTATTGGCCAAGTGTGATTGGACACACAAGGAATTTGCCTTTGGTGCATATGGTCTCAGTGTACAATAAAAAGAAAAGATACATTTGTCAAGAATCATAAGATACAACACTTAATGATAGACCTAGGGTACAAATAAGCAATCGAATCATATTAGGAAACAATATAATCGTAAGGATACAGCAACAAGTTACAGTCATAAGTGGGAGGAGATGGGTGATAGGAACTATGAGAAGTTTAATAGTAATAGTAATGCAGACTTAGTGAATAGTTTGACAGTGTTGAGGGAATTATTTGTTTAGCAGAGTGATGGCATTCGGGGGAAAGAACTGTCCTTGTGTCTAGTTGTTCTGGTGTAACAGTGCTCTATTGCGTTCTTACACACTTAACTGTTGCAGCATCCCCATAGTCACATGTTCAAAATTAGGACGCTTGGCAACTGACTCCCTATTTATGACAGTTGCAATGGCCCAGGGTCATGTGATCACCTTTTGTGACCTGACAAGCAAAATCAGTGGGGAAGCCAGATTCACTTAACAACTGTGTTACTAATTTAGCAACTGCAGTGATTTATTTAACAACTGGCCAGAAAGGTCATAAAATGAGGTAAAATTCACTTAACAAATGTTTCACTTAGCAACAGAAGTGTTGGCCTCAATTGTAGTTGTAAGTTGAGGACTACTTGTAATCAGGAAAGTGTAAGACCCAAAGTATACCCACCCACTCAAAGGTTGGCGCTCTCCTGTATCCCAGTGGGTGCCGTTATGGCAACATTGAATTTGGACACCCCCAAACCTCCAGGGATCAGGAAATGGAGGCTCGCAATTTGGGTGTCCTCCTAGACTCACAGCTAAGATTAGAGCAACATCTGACAGCTGTGGCTAGGGGGGCCTTTGCACAGGTTCGCCTGGTGCACCAATTGCGACCCTACTTGGATCAGGAGGCTCTCCTCACAGTCACTCATGCCCTGGTCACCTCACGGTTAGATTATTGCAACACGCTCTACATGGGGCTACCCTTGAAAAGTGTTCGGAGACTACAGTGGGTCCAGAATGCAGCCGCACGAGCTGTCGTGGGTGCACCTAGGTACACCCACATTACACCAATTCTCCGCGAGCTGCACTGGCTCCCTATTGGTCTCCGGGCACAATTCAAGGTGTTGGTTATTACCTTTAAAGCCCTACATGGCTCAGGGCCAGGTTATCTTCGAGACCGCCTTCTACCACATAGCTCCCAGCGACCGGTAAGATCCCACAGAGTTGGTCTCCGGGTCCCGTCAGCTAAACAATGCCGGCTGGCGGGCCCGCGGGGGAGGGCCTTCTCTGTGGCTGCCCCAGCTCTCTGGAACTAATTACCTCCTTAGGTCCGGACCATCCCCACCCTATTGGCCTTCCGGAAAGCAGTGAAGACCTGGCTTCACATTGATATCGCTATGCGATCTGACGAGATCCGGCCATGAATAGTGTGAATGGGTTTTAATGTCTTTAATGTTTTTAATTTTTAAGTGTTTTTTATAGTGATTTTTTGAGTGTATTGTGAGCCGCCCTGCGTCTTTGGAGAGGGGCGGCATATAAATTGAATAAATAAATATAAATTGAATAAATAAACCACAGCAGCAACACTTCCCAATGGGTGGTAAATTATCTCCTGAGATCCACTGTAAGTGCCTTGGCTTTGCTTGTCCCAAAGGGGCTTTTCAAAAAGGCAACTCGACTTTCTCATATTTTTTTTCCTTCAAAACATTTTGTTTCTCATCCAAGAAGTTTCTCCGGTTCTTAACTGAAGTTAGAAGCTGCTTGGATGAGAAGCGAAATGTTTTCAAGGAAAAAAAAAAAAAACCCAAGGAAGTCCAGTTGCCTTTGGAAAAGCAGCTTTGGCATAAGCATGACCTGAATGAGAGAGAATTTCCATAGACCTTGACTTTGCTGAATTTCAAGAGGTCTACCGGATATTGCTCTAAAGTTTTAATTACAAGGCATCCAAATTCCAAACTAAGTAAAAAAAAACTGATGCTAATATTTGTAGCTAACCAAGCAGGGGTGTCAAACTTGTGGTGTTAACGTTGTCACGTGAGATATCATGATTTCCCCCCCCCTTCGCTAAACAGGTGGGTGTGGCCTGCGCAATCCGAGCCGTGAGTTTGACACCCCTGTTCCAAAGGATGCCTTCTGATCCAATCTCCAGGGTCCTTGGTGCTCTCTGAATTTGGTGGTTTTCTTACAGACATTTCATTACCAAAATAGCTAACAGCATCAGTGCTGAAGGGAGTAGAATTTGCATTACCTAATTTGGTAATAAAAGGTCTGCAAGAAAACTCAAGAGACTACCAATTATTCCACAGTTCAATCCTGAGCTACAAATACTCTCTTCTATCAATCCAACCTCCATTGATAAAGCAAGAGGAGGACACCCAGACACTGAAAGACTTGAGTTTCTCAATATCCTCAATATCTTTCAGCCAGCACTGTTTTGCCATATCTGAGGCCTGATCTTCCTGTCAAACGAGAGAAAGGTGATCAGCAGCTACTCCTATCAGTCCTTCAGCTCAATGGTCTTGTTCTTATGATCCTCTCTAATTTTAAGGGCTACATGATCACCTGACTATATTTGTTACCCTCAGTGGATGCTCCTGTCCTTCCAGAAGAGAAAGCCCAGAGATCTGGAGATACCTGTGGGTCCTAGGAAGGGCAATGTCCATCAGGGTTCCAAGTAACACACCCAATCAAACTCCAAGGCAGGCAAGTTCCTCGAAGCATGGATTTATTAAACATGTCATATTGGCACGCCTGGCGAAAACCCGACTCTATAACTCCCACAGTTTTTCCCCGTGTTAAAAATAAAGTTTTTCTTTCCACACACACACCCATGAGTCCATCACATGGTCCAAACAGGTCATAGTCCAAGTGTAAATTAGTCCCATTCTCCACCTTTCTAACACCTGGTGAGAAAGTCCTTGGTTCCCAGAGAAAAGAATTTGTTTTGGCTACAGATCGCCAGCTAACTCTACTTCCCAGTTCCCGTTCCCACAGCTCTACCCAGCTCTGCTGTGGCAGCCCTGAAGGTGCTAAAAGAAAATGGCTTCAGGGTTGACAATGTCCTCCCTTAAATGACGACCAACACA